GATTGACTGAAGTTAGATGGAAAGAGAAGGAATTGTTAAAATAAATAAAGTTAAAAACACAAGATGGAAGTAAGGAAAAGAGAAGAGAGGTGGAATAGGAAGAATGGAGCTAGCCTACTCTGAAGGATGAATAAACTACAGAAGTCTTGAAGATGATCAGTGTCAGTGACAATCCAGTGACAAGGGAAGAGGGCAAACTACTTTGTCAGTACTGACTGAATGATTTATTTGAAAATTCTGACTCAAAATGAAGGTGAGACAGATGAGTAAATTGTCCTCTTAAAGTCCATCAACACCGTGGGACATCTTTCTCCTGCAGTATTCCTGGCTGCTTTCCCACAATATGCCTGATGTTTCCCATTACCCTTACAATTTTTTTTTTAGCCAGCTGACTAACCTATGCATACATGGATTGATCTTGTGGCCAGAAATTACCACTTAAAATTCTCCCATAATTGACTGCTGCTTGTTCGCTGCCAAGGAGACCAAACTGTACTGATGTTCAGGTGCTGGCAGGTTAAAGGTGTGACTTTTTGGCCAGTGTGTTGTATGGGCCTTTTCCAAAGAATTCTGCAGTTGTTGCTCTTCCCATACAAAGAGAATAGAGGGACCAGAGCCAAGCAAGGAGGTCATTGGCCTGGTGTCTAGACCTAAAGTTCTCTGATGTGCAAATGACCTATCAAACCCTGACTTACTCTTAGTTACAACTGCTGTGCTTCCTTGGAAGGAAGGAAAACCACTTGGAAATTTCTGTTCTCGGTAGTCTACATCTGGGATCGTGACCACTTGGTCTTTTAGGGGAACTCATCCATCTGGGCAAAGAAAGACTGCTTTTTTAGTTGTAAGAAGGGATTACAACGTGGAGAAGAGCTAGCATTGAAATCTGTTTTTAAGCTTGTCTCTGTCATGGCTGATGCCCTTATGATTTGCTGAGGTTGCTGGATCTGATAAGCTTTCTTACTATTACAACAGAAACTGTGCATTCTTCAATGTGTTACAGGACTGAATGCGATGCAGTTACAGAACCTGGCTGCATTGGCAGCTGCAGCCAGCGCAGCTCAGAATACACCAAGTGGCACCGCTGCACTCACTTCCTCCAGCAGTCCCCTGAGCGTCCTCACCAGCTCAGGTAAGAGACAGCCTATGCCATAGTGTGTTATGGCTTCAGTTGCCTTGGGAGTCATTCCAGGATAGATGTGACCTGTTTTTTCCAACTTCTGTTGTCACACTCAGGTTAGTTCCTTAATGGATGACTGGTAGGGTCATTGTTTTGTTTAGGTTAACTATCTTTGTACTATCAAAATTTTTTTTTAACCTGTTTTTTACCTGTCGTGTTCCTTTCTCCAAATGGTCAGGTTAATTTTGAGTAAAAAGGGTTTTTGAGGTTGTCATGAAGCAGAAAGGTAGGTGGCCTCTTTTCAGTCATGGTATTACAGTCTCATCACATATTCAGTTTGTCTGTGATTTTAGGCCTATACTGTGGCCTATGTAGCCTATCCCTCTAGATGCAGAGGTAGAACATGCCTTAAGCGTGAAGTAGTACATTCTGTGCGCTAGAAAAGTCCACTTCATGTTCCTTTGGCATTAGTGAGGAGAAGGCTACTATAACTACCTCACAGAAATAGAGTATGTAGACCTCTACCACGTTTTATTGGAAAGAGGGTGTTTGGAACTGATTGTATCTGGTGCACATCAAAAATCAGAATCTTGCTCTCTTTTTTTTTTTTTTTTGTTTGTTTGCTTGTTTGCATGGAATGGGATGGTTTGGTTTGAGGGTTTTTTGGTCCTTCTTCAGGCTGTGTATGTTATCCAGAGAGACTAGTATTTCTAAACAAGTATTTCTTCTTGATAACTTATTGTTAAATATGGTTACTAAGTGCAACAAATGGGGAAAAAAAAATTTAACTGTGCTTGTATTAGTCATGCTCAACTTCTATCACAAACATGGGTCAGTATCACGCTCACATCTCTCTTTCGAGTTATTTCTAAATTCTGGCATGGGAAAAGAGGCCCTGTGTCTTCAAGGAGCAAATTTCCATGCCGCTGCAGTGGTGTGTGTTTGTTTTTCATAAAAAGCCAAATTGCTTATCCACTTCTGAAATACAGCATGCAGAGTTGACATCCTCACTTGTGGTTATGAGAGACCAAAAAGGAAGGGGGAGGGGGGAAGTGTATTAAATTACCCCAGGTAGCTTTTTGCATTGTCGGAGGACCACGGAACGAGGATAAGAGAGGGAGACTATAAGGAAAAGCTATTTAGAAAACCTTATGTCACAAGATCAGGAATTAAAACTGTTGCCTAGTTTTCTACTTACAGAAATCCCTGGGAGAGACTTGAGCTCAAAGATTTTTCTGTTGTTAGATGGAGTTTCTCCATAAAAAACTTTGTGGTCTGTAATCTTTAAAGATTAAAATTTCAAAACTTATATTGACTACCAGCTATAGTAGCCTATCATATAATTAAAAAGAAAATCTAAAGGGTTGAGGCGATATAAGAGTTACATTTACAACCCTCTGCTACTGCTGCTTCCTCTTAGAGAAGGCATGGAAGTGAACATAACTGAAAATTCCCTCCGTGTTTCCTCAAGCAGTAGCAGAGCTGGAATGGTCAGATTATATTTGTTATGATTGGTATTTGGAACCAAGATTTCCATGTTAGCTCCGTCATCTACCGTCTGGAGCAAGTTTAGTCTCCTGTCTGTTGAGGTGGAGAAAGGGACTGACAGGTTGTGGAGTTCAAATGCCTCACACATGTTACAGAAGGCAGAGCCAGACTCTTCTCAGAAGTGCGCAGCAAAAGGACAAGAGGCGGCAGACACAAGTTGCAACAGTGAAAATTCTGACTGGATATAAAGGAAAAAAGCAATGGTGAGAGTAGTGAACACAGGAACCAGGTGCCCAGAGAGGCTGTTGAATCTCCTTGTAGATAGACGGAGATTCAGCTGGAGAAGGCTCTAAACAGCCTGATCTAACTTTGAAGTTAGCCCTGCTTTGAGCAGACAGTTAGATTAGACAATCCTCAGAAATTATGCTGTGATTTTATGGTTGTTTGGAATTGGTTTGGCCTCTGTGAATTTTGCCCTCTGTGAATGTCCCACAGCACCCTGCAGGTTCAGTTTCCTTTGACACAAACTCTTCTCAGGACTCTGTTAACCTTTTGATCACGGTGGCCGGCAGGGGGCTAAGTGGTAGGGAACAGTGGTATGTTTTCAAGCACCATCTGTCCTGAATCTAAACAAATTTATGATGGCCTGTCATGTCGGTAAACCATTACATGTCAGCGATCAAATAAACATGATAGGTCATTTGAGTGAATATCCTCTAGAGCTGCATCAGTTATTTTACCCTTCATAGGCTTTCTTTAACCTGAAGCAGTCACTGTTGTATTGCTTTTAGTGCGTATTTTCCTAGCATAATCTCAAAGAGTAGAGATTGGCTTTGTTCAAGAGAAGTAAAAGGAAAAAAAAAATTCTGGAGGATATGTGGTCTGTATGCAGTCACTGATCTATCAAGATCTGAAACAGTTTTAGAGCTTTTCATTAGAGCTATGAATATGCTTCACCTTTTAAAACTGTACTTAAATTTAAAAAAGCCTCAGTGCTTATCGGCAGCCCTTGGTCTCATGATATTTCTTCTCATCATTCATTATAAATCTCTGTAGCTCATCACTCTGCACAAACTAATGTCTGTTACAAAAGCAGACTTGAAGTTCTCTTTTGATTAATTGTTTATATGTGCATTTGCACTGCATGTGTTCACATAGAATGCTGTTAGACTCCACTCTAGCCAGAGCATCCCTCCTGAACTGTACTTAGACCTTGGAAAAAACTCAGCATATAGCGATACAGTGGAATGTGAATGCCTTCCTTGTCTATGTGGGAGATATGGCAACATCCACTGTGATAACCTCTTAAACCTAACTGCAGACGAGATGACTACTGGCTTGACTTCTATCCGTCTGTCATGCAAATGTTCACCTGATGCTTATTTTGACGTCTATCCCAGATCGCCCTCGAGTTACATAATCGGTAGAAAAAACCAGACAGTCATTAGGATCCATTACTACTTCAGTTTTCTTTCACCTGCACTGATAATCTTTTGTGTGTTGAGGAACTTGCTTGGAGGGCCACACAGCACAGAGTCTGTGGACTATGTGTGGTTGAACTCAGAGATGTTCCGTACTCTTTTTGTGCTGTCTTCCTGTGCTTTTCAGGTGATTCTTTTTAGATTTTTTCAGACAGTGTTGTTGGGTATGGTGGGCTTTTTTTTTAATGTAGAACAGTTTGAAGCAAAATTCCTTCAGCTGCCATATTTACCCTTTGGAAATGAACAATCTGCTGCTGCATTCATCTGTAGGCAATCCATATTACAGGGACTGTGACTTTAGCAGATAATCTCTCATTTAAACTTCTGATTTGTGAATGGGACGTTGAAAAAGATGATATTATGGAAGTATTTCGGAAGCCATTCCAAATATGGAAGTATATTACGGAGCATCTTGGAAGCCATCCTTTTCACTCAGACATCAACAAGAATTGTCTGCTCCAGAGCAAGATCGCATGGTTGGAAGGGCTGATATATTTTTCTTTCTCCTCCTTTCAGAGTCAATCATCTAAGCAAGGTCCAACAAAAATGAGATGATTTTGCTGGCCTTAGCATGTCCCAGCAGTATTGTTTTCAGGGAAGCTGGGAGTCTTTCTGCTTTTACTGGAACTACTTCTGGTACAGTTCAGTCAGATTCTTTGCCTGAATTTTAATGCTCTTTACCTCATTGCTTAGATGCTAGCTGACTGAGTTAGAACAAACTTATTCTTCCCAGGCAAGCATCAGGAAAATCCCTTAATCTGCCTACCTCAGCAAGTTCACAGTTAATATCCTTGTTCTAGTTTCATCGTCTTTGCTGGCTATTCTTTACTATTTATTAAAACTCTTTGAAAACCTTCTGTCCTTTCAGTAAGTTCTATTGGAGTTCATTCAGAAGCCGTTGTGACCATATATCCTCAAAATGAGGATTATTTTGCTTCATTTCATCTTTTTGTTGATCATTAAGATAACTCCTGTTACAAACCCTGTCTTTCAGTGGGAACTGAATCTAAGCCATTTCACTTCTGATAGGAAAGCCCTCTGAACCCACGACTGCATGCCTTCTGAACTACTTGTTCATGACGACAGTATTCCTGGTAGCTGGCACTTTGGCCAAAAATGTAGGGAAGATGCATGCTTCAATGGTCAGATCTCCTTATACTGTTTTTCTAAAGACAAAGTGACCCCACACAGTGAAACTGTGATTTCTGATTTCTATTTATCCTAGGAAATAAATCAGTTTAGCTTTTTCTTTCCTAAGTGTCATGCTTCCTTTGTAGAAGTAATAACGTGTTCCTTGAATCTTACACCATCTTCTTATGTCATCGATGCAGAACTCTTCACAAAGATCCTTCGTTTTTGTGTTCACAGTGGAATGGTTAAAGAAGTTTTTGGTGGTCTTGCAGATAATTTCACAGTGGGTTATAGCCTAGGCAGAGGAATGTTGTCAGTGTTAATAGTGATCCTTTGCTTCCTAAGGGTCTGTTCAGCTAAAGGTCAAACTAATGGAGATTTCTTAATGTATCGTTCCGATGGCTGACAGCTGTAGGCTGGCCATCTGGGTCCATTCATGTGTTTGCTCTCTCCTGCCTTTCTGCTTTAGAATCCTATTTAATCTTTGAGTTTTTCTTGGCTGGGAGAAACTGAAGCATGCTGTGCTCTTTTTCGTATTATATGTGAGGGGATGGGGCCTTAGAGCATGATTATACAGATACTGTTTAAATTAAACATAATCGGTGTTAAGTTTAGGGGGTTTTGTTGTTGTTGTTTTGTCAATGTACCCTTGGAGGGAACGTATACATAAGATTCTACATCTTGCAGAAGTACAGTTATGAGATAAATCACTAGATATAAATCAACAGATAGTTCTAAGAAAATGTAAGCTGAATAGCAAGCAAAAAAGCTGAAATGATGCTAAGAATTAGGAGGTGACAGGAAAACATGTATAAACTCCATTTTTTGTTAGTGCGTCCTGCTTTGTGATCTAAAAGAATTACTAGAACTAAAAGAACAGAAAGGGTGATCAGAACGGTGGAATTCCTTCCCTATTAGGTGCCACTAAAGAGCGTGGAAAATAGAACAACGACACAGAAGGGGAGGGTGTGATAGAAGCCTATAAACATATTGGTGCGTGATGGAGATGAATAGGTAAAGACTGGTCACTGGGTCTTCCAAGACAAGAATTACAGGGTATCAAATGAAGTTTTCAGCTGACAGTTAAAAAGGAGATGAAAAGAGATATTTCTTCACATAATGCATATTTGAATCACAGAACTCAGTGTCACAGAACATAGTAGAGTCAAAAGTTTGGGGATTCAAAGTGTACTGAAATTCATGAATGAGGATTATAAACAAGGACTTAAATACAAAATTGTTGCCCTCAGCTGAAAAAGTCCTTGAGCCACAGATTGTTGGAAGCTATGACAGTTTGCCTAGGAAGTATTGTTTTGCAATTGCTCTGTATTTATGCTCTCCCATTATGCATCTGCCTTTAGTCATCATCAGAAATGGGATATTGAGTTAGGTGAACCTTTGTCCGGCTCAGAACAGCCGTTTGTATGTACATATAATAAAGAAAATAAACCACATAGTGTTAAATTTTCTTTGTGTTTTCAGGCCATATATACCTCTTATTAAGACATTATTTGTTTTGCTTAAACACATTTCGGATAAAGTCAGCTCAACTACAATAATTGTGTTCAGTTTTTTCCAATGGTGTAAAAGAACTGATATTAAATTATGACCCTTTTAAAGAAAGCAAGACATCTAGTCTTCTCTGTCTTACTTTGCTCTCTAGCCTTGGCTTCATTCTTTTTTTTTTTTCCCCCCCCCTACTGCTACCTTTTTGAAATGGTGTTTTTGTCCGTCTCAAATGAAGTGTTGGTTTGAATTATGCAGATTAGCAATGAACTGTTGCAGAAATAAATCATATTCTAAAACTGAAGCAGCTGTATCATTTCTGAATGCTGGATTTTATTCAGTCAGCTGTGCTGTTTTTTTTAAGCAACTTGCAGAATAGACTGTAACTAGTTCTCTGCATTTTACATGTAATATGCTACTGGTAGTAAGACAGGAAGTGTTTCCTTTTTCCTCAGTCAGCATCTTGAAATATATGTTGGGACAGTGTCTTTCAAGTTCTGACTTGTTAAGAAAGTTTGTCTAAAACTTTTCCCAGAGGAGGTTTGTCACTTCCTTTGTCAGCACAAAAGCTAAGCCGTGGTCTGAAGTGCAGCTCCCTGGGTTCGCACGCAGCTTTTGTTGGGTAGAAGAGTCCACTTTGCCGTTGCTTGTTAGGCAAGTTTGCTGTATTCCACTTAAATAGTTACCATGTTTCACTCCAGCGAAGACTTTGCACATCTGTGAAGTGATGAGTATGTACAAATCCATTTGGAAAATACTGAAAATTCTTGTTAAAGTTTTAATAGGTGTGCAAAGCATACTGAGAATTACAAAAACGAGAAGGAAACTGAAAATGCCTGAATTTCAGTCCTTCTGTTAGGACTGACCAGACAGATGAAGTCCTCTAGAAAGCTGACTATAAGATGCCTCTATAGCAACAGTTTTCAATATCTTTTAATTTGTAGAAGCCCTAAATGTTTTTCCATGGATTTTATACAGCAAATGTAAACCTTGTAGTCATAGATATAATTTTTCTTATTTATTACCTTCTTCAGACTTTTAAGCAGTACTCCACAAGCCTGTAGGAAAACCATAGCTTAAATCATTTTTTATCATGTCAATAATCTATGTGATGACCTACATTTGAACCTCTGTTACTTTTGATACACCAGTTTGGCAAGCTTTAGTCTCTTGGCGTTGGTGTCCGTTTCTCTGGAACTAACTCTACCTCTTGTAAAATTTGGCAGGCTGTATAAGCTTAGTCTGCTAGGAACCATATCTTTAAGACTTTGCTTAGTGAATAGCTAGGCTGAGGATGTTAGTGGCACAGTCAATAGAGAATAGACTTTGTGTTTTGGATATGTGTTCCAAAAGTTTTCTTGGCCCTAGCCCCAGGTGCTGCAGCAGAATTTTTACAGTGAAAAATTATTTCACGTGTTAGAATAACCTCGGCATCTGCTGTTCCTGCTCTGTCAGTATGGAAAAACCATATGCTCAGTTTGACAGGAGCTTTGTTTAATGTCTTTAGTATATGTTTCAGGCTTTTTTCACCTTGTTTGATGTTTCA